TCTCTTTCCCGCTCCCCCAGGCCCCATTCCTCAGCCAGTCCTGAAGGCTCTTCCTCCAAAGTTCATCCCAAATCCCTCCCGTTCTCCAGGACTTCCACCGCTGTAAACCTTAGTCATTTCCACAATGACTTCCATAGCCTCCAGCCTGGGTTCCCCAGCCCACTCGCTGTCCACTGACCTGGCAGGTGCACATGGACTCCTTGTCCCTTGCAGAATAAGCCCCAGCTCCTTATTGTCAGTCCCTGGGCCCGGCTGCACCTAGCCCCTGCCCCCCTCCGCTTCTCCCAGCTTCCCCTCGCTCTGTGCTCGGCCTTCTCTGATCTTTGATCATCCAAGCCCACCCCCAAGTCAGGGAGAAAATTCTTGCCACTCCCTCTGCCAGCTCCTCACAGAGCTGGATCCATGAATGCGCCTCAGCCCCATGTCCCCTCCTCCCAGAAGCCCTTCCTCACCCCTCCAGCCAGTGTTGCCCCACATCCCACAGTAGTCATTCTCCATCTTTCCCCTTGCTCTGTCAACAACAGGGCAGTCGCTGCAGCCTGAAATGACTTGTGTGCTCATTTGGAAGCAGCCTCTCCCACCAGAAGGTCACCTCCGTGAGGACAAGGGCTGGGTCTGTCTTGTTGTCTGCCCTGTCTCCGGCTCTAACACAGAATCTGAGTCTGACACGTGGTGAGTGTTCAGTAACTATTGAATAAATGAGCAAATGAATGAATGAATGAATGGCACCTGCCTCCGGACTTCGCCTCACCTCCCCCATCGCAGCCTCTGCCTCAAACAGCTTCCTCTCCCCAAGCATCCATAGACCCTCGGAGGCAAAATCACTAAAACCCACCATGCTGTAGAACTAACAGAACTAACACCATGGAGAAATAAAAATTTTCTTGTGAGGATGTCAGGCTGGGTGAAAAGCAGCATTATTTTTCAGAAGCCCAGGCTTTGGGGCCTCTTTGATTTATGAACTTTAATGTAGGGTCTAGAGGTGCTGAGCCGTCCATCTCACAGCAGATCGGGTATCTGCAAGACCAAAGGCCATGGAAAAATATGCCTGTTCTTCCTTTAGCAAGTTCCGGCCTCGGCATCTCCCCAGGGAACTCTGGCTTTGAGAACAAGGTCGTTACTGTGTTTATTACTGTATGGAGTAGCATCAGCCTCTCCATACTCACCATGCTGCCGAGACAGGATCACTTTCCATACAGGAAACTCACATGGGGGCAGGGCGTGAAGGAAATAAATCGCTAATTGGGGGAGTTTTCTGCTGGAGGGAAAGCCGGGAGGGTTGAAAGAAGAAATTCCTGAAAAGAAGAGGTGATTAAAGCCATGGAGATTCACAAGAGCCCTCCAGGGCTTGTGTGAGGCACTTTCCCTTTACCTCCATCACCATTCTTGCCAAACAGAATGTCACTTTTTCTCTTGTCTGTGGTAGCAAAGATGAAACAGCAGAGCTGAAAAGAGAGATCACCAAGGAAAGTGCCTGAAAGGGATTATTCCCACGCCTCCAAGGGATCCTGGCAGGCTGTGCCTGAGGAGATGGGTTCCAATTTTAGGTGAAGTTAAAAACACTCTCACCGTCTAAAATCAAATCATTTTTCTTTTAAACACAGGTGTACCCTAGTTTTCCAAACCCTGATCTATGCAATTGTGGCCTTCCCCAAAGATCAGTGAGTAGCAGAGGGATGATGTGCTTTTGTAAAGCAATTCCTCTTAGGAAGGAGGCCCTTTTAAGCGTGAGACACCCTGCCTCTCCTTCCAGCACCTATTAAAACACTTTCTCATTCATTTGTACATGTGTTTGTGTATGTGTGTGTGCATAAGCGGGTGTATTCCTGAACAAGTCCACACCACCGACCCATATTTAAGTATTAGAAATGGGTTTCCATGTGGAATTGATAGACTTTTACCAACTTGATTCCATCGGGGATTTGTCTAGGGAGAGGGCTAGTGATTTTTTTTTTTTTTTTTTTTTTTTTTTTTTTTTTTTTTTGAGACAGAGTCTTGCTGTGTCACCAGGCTGGAGTGCAGTGGCACAATCTCAGCTCACCGCAACCTCTGCCTCCCAGGTTCAAGGGATTCTCCTGCCTCAGCCTCCCGAGTAGCTGGGATTACAGGCACGTGCCACAACACCTGGCTAATTTTTGTATTTTTAGTAGAGAGGGGGTTTCACCATGTTGGCCAGGATGGTCTCGATCTTATGACCTCGTGATCCACCCACCTCGGCCTCCCAAAGTGCTGGGATTACAGGCCTGAGCCACCACACCCGGCCGAGGGCTGGTGATTTTTAAAAGCAGAGTGTTTGACTCCTACTAAGTTTTCTGTGCATCAGCTTAATTCCAGAGAGCTCTGTAGCTGTAATCTATGGGTCTCAAACTCAAATGCCTATAGGGCCGGGAAGGAAACACATGTGAGTGGAATAGAGTGGGCATTAGGAAGACAATAGTGTAGGGGGTGGGGACTGTGGTGGACTGGAGTATGTGCTGCCTAAAGGGGTAGCCATTTCTCAGTTGGCGTTTAGGCCAAGTGTTGCCAGATATCCTGATTTTTTAAGAGAAGCCAAGGATATGGATTTTTACATGAAATTTCTCAACTTTCAAAAACTTCTCCAAGCCAAGCAAAATATCTGTGAACCAAATTCAGCCCATGAACTGGTAATGAATAAGCAATCTTGTTCCAGTAGCGCAAACCGTTAGCTTTGAGGGTAGGGAAGGAAGGAGTCCATATGAGTTAATATTTTGACCTCAGTTCCCCAGAAGTCGCCTTATCATGTTGGTCTCATCAACAGGAGATGTACTCATTTAGCAAGCACTTCTTTGAGCCCTTACAGTGCTGAGCACAGGGATTCAGAGATGACTGAAGCACGTTTCTTCCCCCAGGGAGCAGGCTCCCTAATGAAGGAGCCAGGCTTGCACACAGACAATTCTAGAACTGGGTGGTAAGTGCCGTGAAGACAGATGCACCAGTTGTAAGGGGAGGGGTGCTCAATTTAGCTGGAAGAGCCAAGGAAGGCTTCCTGGATGAACGTGACTGTCCAGCTCACCCCATCTAGATGTGTATAAGAGACAGACTAAAGACATGAGCCACCACGTTTGGCTAATTTTTAAATTTTTGGTAGAGGTGGCGTGTTGCTATGTTGCCCAGGTTGGACTCGAACTCTTGGACTCAAGCATTCCTCCTGCCTCAGTCTCCTGAATAGCTGGGACTACAGGCAACTGCCATCACACCCAGCTGGTAAAATTAACTTTTAATAAGCATGAGGGGTAGTGATGATGAGGTCAGGGCTAGAGC